TTACACCGACCGACGGTTGGGCGCATCGCGTTAGACTTGCTTGACTTTCCGGATGCAACCAGCTTAATACCTAAAAGACTATCGAATTTGCCAACGGGAAGAAGCAAAATTTAATTTGTTTGCCAGTAAAACATGTGTTCACCAGTAAAATTTTCAAGCACATTATAATCTTACTTAGGAGTTGCAACCGTATCTTTTTTAAGTCAATCCACAAAAAGTTATTACAGAAATACTGTCCTCAATTAATTAAAAATTTAATTATTAATCACTCATTTGAAAACAGGAGTTCAGTATTTTACGTAAGAATTCAATTTAAAATTAAAACCTCCTTAGCTGGATAACACATTTAAGGCGGACACATTCTATAACGGTTCGTCTAGAAGGGCTGACTACAAAACCAAGATCACTGTTTACCGAAATTTCCGCGTTCCTTGTCACCATTTGCAACTGTTTCATTTCCTTGTAATGTCTGATATGGACAGGCTTGGCTTTCAATTTGGCGATAAGTGCTGCACAGAGAAAAGGCATAGGTTTACAAAAAATTTTCAAGAATTTCAAGCTTTTCACGGAGGAGAAGTGCATATATCAGGCACTGCCAATATGGAACATACTGCATGGCTACCAGCGGAATACTTGGCTACAGCAACTACAAAAAATTCAGTTCACACCAAAGGGAAGTCTACGTTATTCTTCGTCCTTTATGCGTCGCTACACTCCACGAAAAAACGTTAGCATTCAATGGTAAAACAAGTGTGTCGTTTCTCAAAATGATAAGACAATAAGAAACAAGAAAATTCGGCTTTGTACAACCAAATGAAATAACATCAGATTGGTTTTGAAGGAAATATCGATTCGTTGCCTGCTTTGATACAGTTGATGGTCCTACTCTGATTTCGATTCATGGTTCAGAGCAACAATTTAAAAAGGATGGAAACGATTCCTTTATACACCGAAGGTTTCAACGCTACATATTAGCATCACCTACAGGGTTATATCACATTATTAAAACAGCGCTAAACTATGAAATAAGTTTGAGGGATAATAACGTTACTTCACTGCTTCTGCTGGAGAAGTTAGTCGATGATATTCCAGCTTTCACTTAAATTATGCGAATTAGTATATACTTTACGCAGGGAAAAAGTAAAAAAAAACCTTTCATTTTTCAGTTTATCAAAAGCCTCAGCATTCGACCACGCACCTACACTCAAGGTTGCCTGCCTCTAAACTAACTTTTAAAAATATAAATAATATACGACATCTTTTAAGTTTGTAGTACTGATTCTACATACATATTAGAAACTGATCACCAACAAAATTTTTTGTATAAACACGGCAACAACGAAGATCTGGTTGCCCGATATTTACTGAACCCAGCCCTTAACGTCAGAAATAAGGCTAACAATACGAATAACTCCAATGTAGTTATTGCAAAACTATGTTACAAAATCAAACTGTATGTCGAGAAAAATTTTCGAATATACTTCAAAACAGATATTTCGCCGATATCATAAGCTTAATTAACTCGAGAGAACGACGGAGATAAACATCGTTTATAAGATTAGTTGTAACGACTGTGACCAGATCGACATTTAAAAAACGACGAAAAGATTGGATAAAAGAGTTACAGAACATCTGACAACTCTGAGGAACGGGGGAACGCAGCATTCTTCTCCCACGCTTTGTACTGGGGACACATCCTTTGATGACGAAGGACATTTCCGTTGATATACAGAAAACCTTCATCGAGCTATTGATCAAGGAGTCGCTACAGATTCCGGCTAACAAAAATTGACAATGTTAGTAATTTTCATCAAATTGCTGCCTTGAAACATGGATCAAAATCACAGGACCATTAATTAAACAAGTTTCATGTTTAGAATGAAAGTTCTTACGTAAAGCGCACGGCAATAAACAAGAAACACCAGTCTTACCGGTATGCGGTTCTTGCTGCGGAAACTGGCCACCTTTTTCAAGTCTTCATCATCTGCCGAAGCGGGCACGCATAGCTTAAGAGAAGAGCATCATGCATGTCACAGCGTACCGTTGCTACCCTACGAATGGTGCTTACAATTGCAGGGTATGTGTCGGCAAAGTCGTAGTGCGAGTTTATCTTCGTCAAGCGCCATGTGTCGTTTGGAATGCCCTGAACAGATCGAAATATTGCACATCAAGCGAGACACGACCAGGCGTAAATGTAAATCAGAGAGCACCATTCTGGCGTATTCCTTTTCCGGTTCGTAGATCGACCAGCCATCGAAAGAGAACCTCTCAGAGGATTCGAAGGCAAACAACGTCTGAAATCAAAAAGGCAACAAGTCGAATCACATAAGTCGAAAAAAGGTCCATAAAAGCAAGCAAGAACTCACAAGTTTATTTGATACGGGAAACGAGTACATCTGCAGACATTCGTAGAGCTTTCGCCTCGAATGGTTCTCCTGTCTGCTGGCGAACTTCACACTACGAAAGTCCTACAATGAACAATGTAAGAAAAAATTTATAAGAATTTATGATTTAGTACCTTGCAAAAAACTTCAAAGCCGTAACAGTCCTCGCCTCGACTCATATTTGAATATCCTATTTTTTCTATCCTGCTCACCACTCCTAGCGGAATATCTAGTTTGCAATCCTGAAATACAACAAAACAAAACTTGCAGACATTCGAACATGTACAGCGGTATTCACTCGATCGCTTCCTCTGAAGTATAGCCGATAAATGGTTATTATGATTTCGCCGCTGATTTTTCCGACTGGTGACAAGTACCCAATGTCAGGCTCTAAACAGAAAATATTAGAAGCCTAAGCACTTTCCAACTGGTACGAATACAATAAGGGACTGAGGCAGCTGACGAAGCATCGTCCCATAATTACAAGAAGAACATTAACTAAATTCTTCAACAGATGATCTGAAATTAGGCACTGAAGAGAAGAAAATCACTCAAATCAATCACTGAAATCAAGAAGAATCACTCAAATATCTGAATGCAGAATTCTCTAAGAAAACTCTTTTCCCATTCTAGATATGCTGTGGACGAAAGTAAAAATACAGTTCACAAACGAGAAAATCATTTTTCTGACGATGTACGAAAGGAGTGATGGACTCAACGCCGGAAGGATAAAGTTAAATCAAAAGTTCTCTACTTTTTCGTGGAGCCATGCAAGTAACTCAGTGCGCATGAAAAGAAAAGCTCTAATTTAAATTATAAAATCCAAGATATTCTGATCGACATTCAAGAACAGCAAAACGCGTTGCATGCTAAGGAAGTCCATGCTCCAGAATTTTCCAAGTTTTGTAAATCGACATGCACTGATCGATCACTGCTGTAACAGCTCGCTCTTAATTTCGCATATACTACTGGTTACAAATGCTCAACAAAGAGACTACTGCATTAATCTCCCAAGCATATGCAGAATCTGCTTGTTTCATGTCGCCTTCTATCAGAAAAAAGGATGTTAATTCATAGCCGAGAATTTAGAGAACACTGGAAGAATATATGACATCTGGAATAAAGGAAAACGCAAGTTGCATGTTCAGGTCAAGACTGGAAAATTCGGTACCAAACGTTGCTCGCATCAAAACTGAAGCGACTGGAAAATCAGCTATCAAGTGTGTCAATACAAAGTGCAACCACAAGCGGCGCTCACATGGGACAGCATCGCCGTACACCTCGTTCATTTTGGCATAGCTACACTGGAAGACCATGTTCTCCTTATTATTCAGAAGGTAACGACTTACTATCCGTTTCTCGGCTGGCTACACTGAATCAAAGAGCCGTCAATTCCTTGCAAAACGAATTAACGGTTAAGAACCCAGCACCTCCGGAGATACAAGCCGGCCTCTTTGCCAATGTGCAACTACGCTCCTTCGCATATTCTCTCGCCATTCCGCTGACCAGAGGATGACAGTTGTTATGGTACTTTGTTTAAAAAATAATCATGCGGATTTGTCGAATCAAGGCTTCATTCTGTCAACGGTCGAAAGATCTGTAGCCACATGTGGATGGCTACTCATCACCGAAAAACGAGAAAGCCTTGATCATGATTTCCATATAAATGACAAGTATTTTCTTTACTCTATTTCCACCACCTTAATGGTATTTTTGTTCCTGTTCTCAGCTTCAAAAGAGCTTGCTAAAGTCGCATTCACCTTTGTCCAAATTCTCGGAAATGGATAGAGCTCTTAGAATCACCTATCACTTACCTAATCAGCGAATGGAATGGTAGAATTGTTTCAATGCGACACCTGTGGATTTTGACTTACTAGAGTAAGAAGTGACGACGACTTACCACTTGAAGAATAACAGCTAAAAACATGAGTTTATAAGTATCAATGGCTCTAAGCAACAAGGATGAAAGATTAAGTCAATATTAACGGCTGACAATCAGTCTTGCTGTTTCCTTGATAGTCGATGTTCATTCACCGAGATGTTCGCATTAAAAGCCCTAACGCTGCAATCAAGATCATAGCAATCGCCTCACCCGTTCTTCATATCACATCCAGTATGAGAATCATTTGCTGGAGAAAAAGGCACAAAATTAACATCATATTTCGAGAGAATGGAGAAGGGAGTGGCTCCGTCGATAGAGCATCAGACTCACAGTCGGGATCGAGGGTCGTCGGGTCACTCTCTTCTATCCTTCCAAGGATGATAAATGAGTATCACTTGGTGGGGGTGAAAGGAAGCTACATGTTGTACTGATAAGATAGCTGTAGATAAAGGCTTTAAAAAAAACAGTCCAGGATTGTGAGAAATGGAAATTAATGCCGCAAAATAAACATGAAAGAAGAATGCCACATATGGTAACCATCACGGAAATGCACGGGAGATCGACATCTTAAAGGTTAACATTCTCTTCTTCCATTTTCTACAACTCGAGAAAACAGGGGGAAGTCTATCCCGAAGAAGAGAGCTGAGCTATGCTGAAAATCAGTAGTACGCATCTAGCTCGTAGCCCAATCAAACTTTCTGTCTTTAATTGCCGCCCATTGCTTAATATAGGTATCACGTAATGACTTTCCTGTTGTTGTAGGCTGAATATGTGCTTGTGCTAAAAGCAGAATAAAGTAGTTTCCTG